ATGTGATACCAATCAGAAATTTATATACACCAAATACTAGTGCACCCAACTATATAAAACAAATATTAATGGACATGAAAAGTCAAATGAACACTAATACATTTGTAATGGGGGACCTCAATACCCTACTGTCACAAATAGATCAACTAGACAAAAAAATCAATAATGAAATATTAGAACTGAACCAAACTTTTGAACAAATGAACTTAATAAAAGTCTACAGAATGTTCCATGCCACAACATCAGAATACACATTCTTCTCAGCTGCCCATGGGACATTCTCCAAAACAGACGACATACTAGCTAATAGAACATGCTTAAGTAAATGCAAAGGAATAGAAATCATCTCATGCATATTATCCACGCAATGAAATTGGAAATCAATGGTAAAAGAAACCACCAAGGACTTCATAAACACATGAAAATTAACACCCTCCTGAACAACCAATGGGTCACAGATGAAATTAAAGGAGAAATTAGACAGTTTCTACAATTAAATAATAATGCCAGTACAACATACCAGAACCTATGAGATGTAATGAAAGTAGTCCTATGAGGGAAATTTATAGTGGTGAATTTTCATATCAGAAAAACAGAGCAAGCTCAAATAAACAACCTAATGTTGAACCTCAATCTTCTAGAAAAAGAGCAAGGCAAACCCAAAGCTCATATGAAGGATGAAATTATAAAGATCAGAACAGAAATTAATACAATGGAGACTAAGAAAACAGTACAGAAAATCAATGAATTAAAGAGTTGGTTCTTTGAAAGATTATATAAAATTAACAAACCCTTAGGCAACCTTATCAAAAAAAGGAAAGACTCAAATCCATGCAATTAGGAATGAAAAGGGTGAAATCACAACAGATCCTGCAGAAATCCAGAAGATCATCAATACCTACTTTGAGAAACTGTATTTTAATAAGATGGAAAACACAGAAGATAGGTTCCCAGATACATATGAATTACCAAGCTGAGTCAAGAAGATATAACAATTCTATATAAACTAGTATCAATCAATGAAATTGAAGATGTAATTAAAAACCTACCAACAAAGAAAAGCCCAGGCCCTGACAGATTCCCTGCTGAATTCTCCAAAAAATTTAGAGAAGACCTAATGCTGCTACTTCTCAAACTCTTTAATGAAATTGAAAGGGAAGTAATACTCCCATATTCATTCCTGGAAGCAAGCATTACCCTGATACGAAAACCAGAAAAGGATCCAACCAAAAAAGAGAACTACAGACCAACCTCCCTAATGAACACAGACACAAAAATCCTTAATAAGATACTGGCAAAGAGAATGCAGCAAATCATCAAGATTATACGCCATGACCAAGTAGGATTCATCCCAGAGATGCAGGGATGGTTCAATATACCCAAGTCAATAAATGTAATACACCATATTAACTGAGTCAAGGACAAAAACCATATGATCCTCTCAGTGGATGCAGAAAAAGTGTTTGACAAGGTCCAAGACCCATTTATAATAAAAAAAAAAACCCACAGAAAATTGGAATAGATGGTCTTTATCTCAATCTGATAAAAGCTATAACAAATCAAGAGCCAACATCATACTAAATGGACAAAAACTGAAAGGTTTCACTCTAAAATCATGAACAATACAAGGATGTCCACTGTCACCAATCTTATTCAATATAGTTCTAGAAACACCAGCCAGAGAAATTAGACAAAAGAAAGAAAAGGAATAAGAATAGGAAAGGAAGAGGTTAAATTATCATTATTTGCTATGACATGATACTCTACATCAAAGACCCCAAAAACACTATGAAAAGAGTTCTAGATTTAATAACCAAATTCAGTAGCATAACTGGTTAAATCAATAGCATTCTTATATGCAAATAACAAACTCATTGAGAGAGAAATTAGGGAAACAATGCCTTTCACAAGGGCATTCAAAAAGTGAAATACCTAGGAATCAATCTAATGAAGGAAGTAAAAAACCGCTACATTGAAAACTACAGTACTCTGAAAAAACAGATAGACAGGCTACCAGAAAATGGAAAGATATCCCTTGCTCTTAGGTAGGAAGAATCAATATAGTGAAAATGGCCATACTTCCAAATCTGTTATACAGATATAATGCAATCCTGATCAAAATACCAGTAGCATATCTCACAAAATTAGAGAAAACAATCCTAAAATTCATTTGGAATGAAAAGAGACCTAGAATGGCAAAAGCAATTATGGGGGCATCACAATGTCTGACTTGAAATTATATTAACAAAGCTATTGTGAGAAAAACAGCATGGTACTTGCAAAGAAACAGACCTAAGGATCAATGGAATAGATTAGAAGATATAGAAACAACTCCAAACATACTCAGCCACCTCATCTTTGACAAAGGAGCCAAACACCTTCACTGGAAGAAAAAAAGTCTCTTTAATAAATGGTTTTAGAAAAACTGGCTTTCCACATGCTGCAGATTAAAACTAGACCCCATATCTTTCACTATGCACTAAACTAAAATCAAAATGGATCAAAGACCTAAATATTTAACAACAGAAACACTAAATCTTCTGGAAGATAGAATAGGTAAAACTCTTGAAGACATTGGTGTAGGCAAAGACTTTATGAGCAAAACCCTGATTGCATAAGAAATATCAAAGAATCAGTGACTGGGATCTCATCTTATTAAAAAGCTTTTGCACAGTAAAAGAAACTGAAGAAAGAGTGAAAAGACAATTCACAGAGTGGGAAAAAGTGTTTGCCAGCTGTTACTCAGACAAAGGACTATTATCTAGAATATATAAAGAACTTAAAAATACCAGAACCCCCATATTTAAAGACCCAATCCAAAAATAGGCATCTGCAATGATAGACACTTCTCAAATGAAGAAGTAGAAATGACAGATAAATATATGAAAAAATGTTCACCATCACTGGTCATTTGAGAGATGCAAATTAAAACAAGACTGAGATTCCATCTCACTCCAGAAAGAATGGCTATTATCAAGAAATCAACCAATAACAAATAATAGTGGAGTTGTGGAGAAAAGGAACACTTTTCCATTGTTGGTAAGAGTATAAACTGGTGCAACAGTATGGAAATCAGTGTGGAGAGTCCTCAAAAAACTAAAACTAGAGTTTCTATTTGAACTAGTTATTTGTCTTCTTGGTATCTTCCTGAAAGAATTAAAAGCATCATGCCATGGTGATATATGCACACCCGTGTTTACAGCGACACAGTCTGTAATAGCTAAATCTTAGAACCCAAATTCCTATTAACTGATGAATGGATAAAGAAGAGGTGGGGTTTTTTTTAATACAACGGAGAACTCCTCTGCCATAAAGAAGGATACACTTGAGACATTTCTAGGTAAATGGATCCACCTTGAGACCATACTCTTTAGTGAAATAAACTGGACACACATGTTTAAATACTGCATTGTTTCTCTGGTGTGAGAAACCAAATGTATAAATAAGGACCAAAATGTATAATAGATATTGGGAAATGGGAAGAAAATGTTCAAATGAGAAGGGGAACAAGGGAGGGAGGAGGGAAAAAGGAAGGGAGGGACAAGAAAAAAAAGAATAGGAAAAAATGGAAACAAAGCTTTTGTAAATAAGGAGGGGAATAGGAATTGAAGGGAGGGGAGGGGAATGGGAAAAAAGAAAGGGTGGGGATTTAGCTCAGGGGTGTAGCACCTGCCTGGCAAGCACAAGGTCTTGAGTTCAATTCCAGGTACCAAAAGAAAAGGGGGGGGGGAGAAGCAAGATATATCATGTACAGATACAAATTGCCTATGATATATGTTATCAATATGTGCATATAAAATATACTAATAAAATAAATATCTCTACCACTGTTAGGGGAAAATCTCAATAAGAATGCCAATAATAAAGCAAAGTTATTGATCATTTACATTGTGCCAGGCATTAGCTAACTAAGTGCTATAGATGCTGTGCTGAAGTTCATTGTCCTTCATTTAAAAAATAACTATCATTCTGTTTAATAAAATAGAAATAAATTTTTAAACAACGTGGAAAAGAATGGTTTTTACATTTTTTAAGGGCTGGGAAAAAATAAAATATTCTGTGACAGGTGAAATTTAGATGAAATTCAGTTTCAGTGTTTATAAAGTTTTATTAGCACACAGCCATGTTCATTCTTTTACATATTACTCATAGCTATTTTCATGCTACAGTAACAGATTAGTGCTTCAAACTGCAGTGATGCAGTTATAAATCTATAGCATTTCAAGTGCCATTCCACAATACTTACTTTTATTTTTATTAGCAGTGAATGGTCATCATATCTAAACAAGTAAAGAGAATTGGAGTTGGAACATCATGCTTTTATGGCACAATGAAACAAATTACTATGAAGGGGACTGAAATGGCAGAACATTGTGTTTGTTGTGCAATGACACTATGACTATTCTCAAAAGAATCCAATATATAATGATTTGTTGTTTCAAGGATTAAAATACGTAAAGTAATTCCTACCTATATCCATCAATAATCAGAAATTAGATTATGGCAATAGTGATAGTCCTTTTCTCTCTGTATATCAATTTAAGTGATGCCTCTTTTAAAACATTATTTTGATGTACTAAGCCAAGGTCAGCAGGTATGTATACTGCTTCTGTTAGAATGGATAACACTTCTATTTCCCATTGAGCAAAAAAATAGGCAACCTCCCAATGTAGTTCCACAGGTAATCCCTCTACTCAACCAAAACTGGAATTTAGATGAAACTCACTTGTCATGCTCTCACTTCAAGAACAGAAAAAACAATATAGGCATAGTCTACTTGTTTCCATGAAAATATTAACTATAACATATATATGAGAATAATTAGCACTTTCATATATTTTATAGTTTGGTTATTACTTTCTCTAAAGTTTTCAGCATTTTAAAGTTATGATTATTTTAAGTATTTCCCTTTTCAGTGAAGAAATGAAAACTTTTGTTAATTTTATTATAATTCTTTATTAGAATTTAAGATCATTAATGTTGTGACTTTTTTATTTTAGGAGAAATGAGAGAAGATTACAGAAGACAGGTAAAACACTTTCTCTTAGTATTTATTATTGGACACTTAAATTCCAGGAGTAAAAAAAAATACACTTATATGATCATTTTCAACTCAAGAAATGCTGCCTAGGCTGGGGATGTACCTCAGTGGCACTGTGCCTGCCTGCCAAGCACAAGGTTTTAAGTTCAATCCCTGGTACCGAAAAAAAAATGCTGCCTATTAGTCTCCATTAATTAACTGGACTAAATTAACTACATTTTCCTACAAATGTCTCAAATTTATCCTTCTGTATAGGTGAGTAGTATTCCATTGTGTATAGATACCACATAGATGAGGACAGTGCTCCCAATGACTAAAATAATTTCCATATTTCAGTATCTGTTATAATTATTAAAAGTCATTTTTAAAAATAAAATTGTGATGGGCCGGGGATTTAGCTCAGTGGTTCTGCTGCCTGCCTCACAAGTGCAAGGACCTGAGTTCAATCCCCGGCACCAAAAAAATACAATAAAATAATGATAATAAAATATATAAAATAAAATGATAGATCTGGAATTGAACTCAAAAGAGTCCAATAGGAGGAACCTAGAAGGAATATAGATGAAATAAGAGTTACCAGGAAGCCAGGGTGATGGTGTACACTTGTAATCCCAACACTTTGAGAGGCTGAAGCTAGAGGATCACTAAGTTTAAGCCCATTCTGGGCAATTTAGCAGCTAAGCAAGACCCAGTCTCAAATAAAGGCTGGGGATGTAGCTCAGTGCAGAGGCCCTAGTTTCATTCCCCAGTACCAAGAAAACAAAACAAAAACATCACCAGGAGTTGAAAATTGATGAAGCTGGAGAACAAGTAATACAGTAGTTCATGTGTGTCATTTTCTCACTGGCACATATTTGAAGTTCTCTCTTAAAAATTAAGAAAATTATGATAATATTAAATTATCCAGTACATTTTAATTATATATGTATAATTTTATATGTAATACATATAAAATATTACTTCTGACAAGTGGTCCTGAACCCCTGTCCATATTCTATCTCTGACATCATACCCCAGTTTATTCTGAGAGGAGGTATAAATGCCTTGTTATACCATTTTCAAAAAGATTTGGTAAAAGTTTCAGAGAAATCCTCACAATTTTATGCATAGCCCACATGGATAATCATATTAACTGATTCATTATGAGACTTGAGTTTGAATGATGGTTCCACAGTTTAGTAACTGTGCTAGTGCATTATAATTTTAGACAAATCACTTCATCTCTTTAAGCCTCAATTTCTTCATCTCTAAAACAGAGATAATTCCATAGGAATCATCCATAGGATTTTTATGAAACTATTTTGAACATGAATGTGGTTAATTATATGTAGCTATATTAATGATAGTAATTATCAGCATCATTACTTCAGTCTACTTCTTCAGGAACATATCTATATTAGAATTTTTTTAAATCTTGATTGGCTTAGAAGAAAATGCTCCAGGTTACAGTTAAATATACATGCATAGTAATTTGCATTTAATTTGCTAAAGCTTAAAGAAACTTTACCATAAATTTTATATATTTTAAATAGCTTTTTAAAAAGAATATTTGTTAAAGAAAAAACAGCATCCTGTCAAAACTTTTTAGACACATCCAGTTGCATAGACAAATGTGTATGAGATCTAATTTTTTTAAAAAAACAAAACTCCTTTTAAGCTGTGAGTGTAAGCTATATTGTCTCAGCAGTGTGAAAGCTGACCCATACAATGTGTATAGAAGAGATCACACAGCAAGATAGGAAGCCACAGAGAGATTCAGGGGCTAGGCTTGCTCCTTTGCAACAACACACTCTTGCAAGAACTAACTCACTTCAGTGTTAGTCCCTTTTCTTCCTTTTTTTTTTTTTTTTGTATGGGGATTGAACTCAGAACCTTGCCCTTGTGAGGCAGGCGGTGGCACCACTGAGCTAAATCCCTGGCCCATTTCCATCTTTTATTAGTACATGCTTGCAGTATGTGATGTTTACATTCATCTTGCGGACTGGGTACATATACATAATACAGCTTCTTTCTTTTTTTAGTCCCCTTCCCCACCCCCTACCTCCCTCGACCTCTAAATTCCCTTTCCCCATTTTCATTCTTGTTGTTATTATAATTCTTAGCTCATTCATTGAAGTTATTAGGTTCCTGTAGATAAAATATCTTTTTTTTTTTTCTGGTATGGGGGATGGAACTCAGTACCTTGCATTTACTTTACGGGGTGGGCACGGTGCCACTGAGCTAAATCCCTGGCCCTACATAGTATATCTTAATTCTACTTACTTCCCCTTTTCATCCCCCTCTCCCCTTGCCCTTGGCCTCCTGGACCCCTTCCTATTTGCAAGAGGTCTATCCCCTTCTATCCTTCTACCCATCCTTTATTATTCTCTTTGTACTTTGTCTTATTCAAATGAGAGATATCATATGGTATTTAAGCTTGTGTGATTGATTTATTTCGTTCAGCATTAAATTTTCCAGATGCATCCATTTTCCTACAAATGTTTCAAATTTATCTTTGAAGTCAAGTAGTATTCCATTATGTATAGATATCACATATGTGAAGGCAATGCTCTCAATGACTGAATTGCCTTCCACTAAGCCCCACATTTCAAAAGCGCTGCCACCTTTTAATGCTACCATATTGAGGTCCAAGCTTCCAACAAATGAGCCTTTCAAGTGTAAAATGCATCCAAGCCATAGTAATAACTATTTTTTAACATATCTTTTTATCACTTCTTTGGCAGCTTCAACCAATTGTATATATTCAATCAAAAATAAAATAACAATAATTATTTTTATTTTTAACATTTATCAAGGGCTTATTACATGACTGTTACCAGCATGAACATCTTAAAATTTCTAATTCAGTTAACTCTTACAACTATTCCATGAGATGGATACTGCCCCATATAAACAATGAAACTGAGATACAAAGATTAAGTAATTTACCCATAGTCACACAGCTTGGAAGGTAGAAAGCTAGAATTCAAATCCAAAGAGTCTAGTTCTAGCTCAGGGCTTCTCATTCACAACACTTTGATATTTTGGGCAAAAAAACACTTTTTGTTAGGGTCATCCTGTGCATTGTAGAACATTTAGTAGTAATTTCTGCCTCTACCTACTGGATCCCAATGGCTTTTCCATCCAAGTCAAGATGACCAATAACTTGCTACACATTGCCAAATGTCTTCTTGGCAGACAGGAATGCCAAAATCACCCATTGAGGGACAATGCCTGTAAAAAATTCCCTGTACATACTGCATAGAAACGTCTATACAAATAAATAATGTGAAATAGGAAGAAAAGGTCCAAAGGGAAAGGAGAAGGGAAAGTGGGAGTGGAAGGGGAAAGGAAGAAGGGAAAGGAAAAAATATGAGAAAAGAAAAAAATGGAAACAAAGTCTTTGTAAATAGGGAGGGGTGGAGGGATTGAAGGGAGGACAGAGAAATGGGGAAAAAAATAAGAACCAAGATATATCACGTAAAAGTACAAATTCCCAATGATGAATGTCATCAAATTGTATGCCTAAAATGCACCAATAAACTTAATTTTTAAAAAACCTCTACACAACATTGCCTTTCTGAAAGCTACACATAAATATGGGAAGCCAGAAAAGAATATAAAAGTCATCTCTAATCCTCCCCCCATCCAGAAGATAATCCTTAAAACTGCTAGTACCTTTAAAGTCCTCTGGGTGCTCCTCCCCAATTACATTCTTGTCCCTCCACTTTCATCATCCTAAATTTTGTATTAATAATTCTCTTACTTGTCTTCCCATATAAGGATACATGCATACACATGTTGTTTAGTTTTACTTTTTCCTAAAGTATGAATGGAAACTGTATTTCTTCTTGTTACTTGCTTTTTTCACTCAATATTTCACTTTGAATACATCTGTCCTGATGTGTGTAGGTGCAGGTGTATTCATTTTCACTGCCTACACTATTCCACTGAATAAACATGACAACTAATTCATCTAGTATACTCTTTATTGCTCTACTGTTAAGGAACATTTAAGCTGATTGTAGATTTTTCTACAGTATTACAAACAGTGCTGCTGTGAACAGTCTACATATCCTTAGGGCATACACTTAGCAGTAGAATTTCTGTCACAGACAATGCACATCTTTAATTTTAATAAATTTCCAAAGTAGTATTACCAATACATTCTCAGCAAATAAGTATTAGAGTTTCCATTGTTCTATACCTTGCTAATAAATCTTAATATGCACATTTAACACTCAAATTTTTACTAAAGATAGTCATTCCTAGTAAAATAGTTTTTCATTAATGTTTTAATTTTCATTTGCCTGATTAATGATTAATAATAAAGCTGAGCCTCTTTTCTGTTTCTGATTATTTGTGTTTTTTCTTCCTCTAAATTCCAATTCCTATCTTTTACTTTTCTGAGTTCTTTGCCTTTTTTTCACTTATTAGCAGTTCTTTATATATTCTGTAACTAACCTTTATCAATGTTAACAAATACCTTCTGACATTTTATTGCTTGTCTTTTCCCTGTCTTTATGGTTGATAAAAAGAAATTTACGGGGGCCGGGGATTTAGCTCAGTGGTTCCGCCGCCTGCCTTGCAAGCAGAAGGATCAGAGTTCGCTCCCCAGTACCAAGAAAAAAAAAAAAGAAAGAAAGAAATTTACTACATTAAGAATGTATGATGGGCCGGGGATTTAGCTCAGTAGTTCCACCGCCTGCCTTGCAAGCGCAAGGACCCAAGTTTGATCCCCAGTACTAAAAAAAAAAAAAAAAAAAAAGAATATATGACCCTTTCTCTATCTTTTTTTTCCCCCCTTCCTCTATCTTAAGATGTTCTTCCCTATCCCAGTGTCACACAGATTTTCTCCAAGTATTAAAGTTTTTACCTTCTGTGTTTATGTCTTTAGTCCATTTGGTTTCGTTTTCTGTGGTGTGTTAAGCCTAGAATTAAAATGAAATTATTCTAAACCTATACAAAAATAACATACTACTATATTCTAAGAGTTTAATTCTAGGGCC